AGTGTTGAGCCCTTGTAACAGAATCCACAGCTGTCATTCAGGAGCCGAGCCCGCCTCCAGAGTGACCTTCCTCAGCGGACACGCCCCGTCCACCTGTTCCACAGGTGCGCCCGGCAAGATGGCGGCGGGGCGAGTTTCTGCGGCGTGAGGTGCGTTTGCGTTTTGTTTCTATTTTTCTTATTTTAAGTGCAAAAAAAATCAAATCTTACTTGGAGGAAAGCTAGACAAGAATGTATTGTTGTTGCTAATTTTATTTGCATTTGTTTCGGTTTAATTTGTGTTTTAGGACGCCGAAATTAGTGTCCTGTCCTTTTCGGCGTGCTCTCGAAGTTTTTAAAGTCTGCATTAGTTCAAGTTCAAGTTTATTGTCATTATTCTCATATACAGGTTTATGGTATAACGAAATGCTATTTAGCTAGCTCTCAGACGATAAGTAGTTCTTATACTTATATCTTTCATTTCTTATATTTTTCATTAAAGTGTGTTTTTTAAAGATGTTGCATATCTAAGTTGGTTTTCTTCAACGAAAAAGGCTGTAGTTTGTCTTCAAACATTTGCTTTATAAAGTCAGTAGCTGTGTAATCTCTCTCCTTTCGGGTTCGGGCTATACTAACGCTCTACGCTCCGGGATTCTTAAATATTGTAAAGATGAAATTTACTCATTCGTAATGTTTTTATTTCTCCAGGTGACAAAAGGATTCCATGAACGGGCCTCCAGTTATGAAAAGGTGTTTTTTCCTGGTAAGTTATATTCCTACTTTCCGCTATACTATTTATCTTTGTGTAAGTCTGTTAAGACAAACGTTTTTTCCAACATTTTAACACCAGAACTGGTTTATACTGACTATATAACTGATTTTCGTTCCGTTGTGCTTTTGTTAAATAGAAAGTGGAAACTCTTAAGTCGCTGATGTTTAATGGTTCTTTTGTTTATTGAATCTATTGGGTAAAAATGTATAATACTAACAAATTGTAACAAGTTTTCAAAGCGGGAAGTTATTGTTAAATAGAAAGTGGAAACTCTGAAGCGCTGGTTTTTAAAGGGTCTTTTATTGATAAAATCCATTGAGTAAAAATGCGTAATACTAACAAATTGTAACAAAGCGGGGAGTTAAAACGAATGTTATAGATGCTGTAAGTGGTACTTTCCAAGTTTATTTATTCATTCATTTATAAGTAGAATTGAATTTCTATTTGGCTGAGCTTATTTTCTAAATATTGGAGTAGTTTGACTGGGATGTATCTGCGATTTCTAATGGAATTACCTATTGCTTTATTGAATTTGATCGTGTTTGTATATTTCTTTATTTAGGCAGCTTGTTTGAAAAGTTAATAGATTTCAGAACGTCAAGT